TGTTTTGTGTTGGTGTACCGTAACTCTAAAAACAAAAGGAAAAAAAAAAACCTCTAAAAATCCACTGATCCTGGGAAAATGTCAGTAGCAATTATCTAGTCTAGAGACATTTTAAAATTGCATCAGATTTAATACCTCAGTGTCACTGTGCCAATTTTTACTCTGCAGAACAACCCTCCAAAGGGATGGATAAGGAGTGATCCATTGCAGGAGAGTTTTGGGGATACCAAGAGTAAGTGAGGTCACCTCCATGGCAGCAGCAGTCCTGTGTCAGGCGCCGGGAAATTTTGTGGTTGGACGCTGTGGGCTCCAACTAGTCTCTCACTGCTCGTCCTCCACTCAAACCCTTTGGGATGGAAAGCTACAGAATACTGAGCCTGCATTGTAATCTACTGCTGGGAGAAAGGACTTCCAGAGACGGAAAAGTTACTACAAAAAAAAATAAAACAAAACAATGGCTTTATTGAGATTATGTCCTCAGAGCAGGAAAGCTACACTCCAAGTATTTGTAACTATTTACATTGTATCTCTGGCACTCTGAGATACCTTGAGACTGTCTGACAGAAATAGTCGTGGGATCAGTCAATGGAAACACTGTGGTTTGAGAGATTAACAGATTTCCTGAAATAATATAAATCCTATCTGACCAAAGGTTTTGTCACCTCATACACAGGGCACCAGCCTTCTTCTCCCTGAGAAAGGATGGGCACGTTAGTCCAGATGAAGCAACTTAATCACAAGCACTTCAACGAGCAGCAAAGCCCGGAACGAATTACTTTCCACTCTCCTTTCTCCCCAGAATTGCATTTTAACAATTACTACAGTCTTTACAATCTATGACATCCGTAATCTTAACTCATGCTTCAGAGCATATTCTACTGATATTATTTGGAGCTTCTTTTAAAAAGAGCTTCTGGTCCCCCAAAGCCCCCCATTTTCCACAATCCACAGCTATTTCACAGCCCTGATGTACAGGAGCTTGTCAAGCTTTGTAGGATGTTTTCCACAAAGTGACTTGAGTTTGCTACTTACAAAGCAGAGCATGAAACACTTGGCACCAGTGTGAAGTGCAGGATGGAGTAAGAGTGGGAAAGATGACCAAAAGGGTGACAGCAGTTCCTCTCTGGCTGTTGTGAATGAATGCCAGCGTGGTAGAGCCCTTATCAGAATAATAGGAGTCACATGAAGGGGTAACTTTGAACAATTAACCAACTTACATCCTAAATGGAGACCACTTATATTGATAATGTTATCTACCTCATAAGTTAAATATTAGTGCCCAGAAAGCAAATATAGCTCCCTCAGAGTCAATTCAGTTGTCAGACACATGTTTTAGGCACTACTGGAGATACCCCAGACATCAAATCCACCTTTCTGGAGTCTCAAGTACAACATGAGGAGTCAAAGACTCATATCCTTCTGTACTAGCTCCAGAAGACAAGGGCAGATAGTTCAGGGCAGTTCAAACGGTACTTAGTGGCTATGGTTAAGAAGCTAAAATCCCTGAAGCCTGGTAGGAGATTCCCAGCTCCCTGGAGCAGATACCTGTTGGGCAATACAGAGCAAATACCTACTGGGCAATGAATCAATCCTCAAACACCAAACTAGCCCAGAGAGGGATGCAGACCTGCTCTAGATGGGCTGCAAAGGCATTTGTTGTTCCCACCAGAGGGACCAAGTGTACCATGCCTGCCAGGGCTGGAGAGGCTGATGGGAGCTGTCTGATGCCACTGGCACTATGGCAATAAGAGCGATACAGATCTTTACAGCAGCAATTTGTCTGCAAGTTTGTGTCTTCTCTTGCACTAGTCATAGTTCTCAGGAAATATCTGTGTGGGTCAAGAAGCTGATAATTAGCCCTAGAGTTTATTTTCAGTTTGCATACCTCTGACCATGAACACGACAAACAGGCTTTGACGCAGTTAAGCAAGATCATGTCAGAGAGAGGCAAAGGTATGTTTGCGACACTTCACCGTATTCACTGGAATTCCCACCCATGTTTTAACAACCTATACGAGCAATCTCTTATCAGTTAAAAATGCGCCTTTTTCCTCTTCGTGCAAGCTTGATTACACAGATGCCATTTAGCAAATATTTTACAGTAAATCAAAGTATGTTAGATTATTTTATAGTAATATTTGTATAAAAATATAAAAATTACTAGTACCAAGCTACTTGGGCTTGCACTGAAAGGTTTTATCAGAGTATGTTGGAAAAAGGGCTGGTTATTAAAAATAATTCTTCTGCTTAAGAAGTACTCCTAGGTGAAAACTTTATCCCCCACTTCACCAGTTCATCTATATATTAAGGAGTGCTGCTTCAGATAAGACACCAGTAGTCCTACGCCGCCTTCTGCAAAGTAAAGAAGACACAGAAGATATTAAAAATTCTTAAAGTTTGGTATGAGAAAGAAAAAAGTTAAAGAAATTCTACAAATGGCATGTGACAGTGTTGAAAAAAAGACAAAAAATGCACCCTTATTCAGAATTCCCTCTGCTAGAGCCATGAAAAGCTCCACCAGGTGGTGGGATTAACAGCACTAGAAATATGCTCTGGAGCTGAGTTTGCTCTTACTCCTTTGCTTTTAAAAGCACATTTCTGCTTCACCATGCTCTTGAAAATACTTCTAAAAGATGATCCTAATAAAAATGTATTTCTGCTATCATTTAACAGCAGGATTTGCAATGCACTTAACACAAAAGATGTATTTATAACTTAGAAGATGGAACTGCCATCTGCACGACCCTAATTTCCTCTCAAGTTACTTTCAGTTTTACACAAACAAAAAAGCAAATTGATTAGCAGACACTAAACTATATTTAGCTTTAAAAGTGACCTTCTTCAATTGAGATGCCATCACCATTATTAATATTATCAAGTTTGAAAGAAAAACTGCAAAAAAAGGCTGCAAGCTCCTTTCTGGTTGGGATGTGTGAAAAATTCATACAAACAGGGTAACTCAGTGCCTCTCCTGCACAATCAGACTGTGCACTGAGTGAGCCAGAAGTACAAGAAATTGGATTTTTCTCTTCTTTTGCCCTTTCAGACACTATGCTCTTACATGTTACTACCAGAAAGGTAAAATAAATGTATATTAGCACAACTGTACTTTAAAAACTTAGTGGTAGCTTTAAAGCCAGTTTGGCAGGATCATAGACTGGGACTTTAGTGCTGCTGTAGGGCAACATTTCAGTGGCAGGAGGTTGATATCCTGTGCCTCAACAGAGAAACTGAAGTGAGAAACTGGCAGAGGAACCAAGTGCCAAGTTCACCATAGATCTATGGTGGGGTTTTGTTGTTTCCAGGATAATCAAGAAAACAAGTGCCTTTAACTGATGAACAAATTCACCCTTTCTATTCACACACACCTATTTCCCCCCTCACCCCGGCCATGGCCCGAACATATGTTCAAACAGATTAAAAACTGTCAGTTCCCAGATGAGCTCAGAAAGGACCTTAAGCACAGACGTGCCCTGCAGGTAACCATCCTGCCGTTTCCAAAAGCAGGAAAGGGAACACAAGGCCAGCCCCAGCTTCTTCTAACACGAGAGCAGCTCTGTCAAAGCATTGTGAACAGTGTGTAGAGCACTGCTGGTTTTGGATGGAGACAGAAAAAGTGAGGAGGGGTGAACATATAGGCTGCGGAAGGTGCTGCCTGGCATGGATGGCACAATGCTATGGATGTAACAATCTAAGTAATTCCAAGCAGATGCTTCACACAGAGCCACCCCTCCAGCTAAAGCCATGTAAATAATATACAGGAGGAGCTTGCTGCTAATTGAGTACCTTCCAAAACGCCAAGAGGCAGGAAGACTCCAGTTAAAGAAGACTCTTCATTTTAACTTGTGTCACTGAAGAGCACCAAAGTAAATGAACTCTGGAGGACAAGATCAAAGTAGAATAAGAGACTTTTCTTTTTATATCCTTGAATCTCCTGTCCCTTTTGCACACTGAAATTTAATTTCCTTTTCAAAGAGAGCTTTTGGAGCTTATGAAAATTGACCCAAAAGATTACAAGGGCTTTGTCACCCTTCCAATTTCCCTGAAAGATCCATAATTAGGGAGGCTTTTCCTTTAACATATATATAATATGTTATATTATATATATAATATATAATTCAGATTTACAATCATATGGATGAGTTATTCCAATGTATTGGATACATACAAGCCCAACCGCTATAAAGAGCTGAAAAATCTTGTGTGCCTCAAATGAGTAGTTTGCTTTCATTTATGCCAAGACTACACGCAACCACAGTAAGGACCTGAGATGTATGTTTGTTGAAGAGATAAATACATCAAGTGCAATAGAAACAAACTGCTGACCTCGAAGATTAGTTATTTATACTCCACTGGAAATTAATTCTGCAAGGAGGGAGGTGCGAACGGATACCTAAGACAGCTAGTCTGATTTTTGCTCTCTAACGGAGTAACACTGGCTTTCCTCGCTCGGCACACAGCCTATTCAGGACGAAAAAAAATAAAACAAAATGAAAGAAAATAGAAAAGAAATCGGGGTACAGGACTATGCCGGGATGGTCCCTCCCGCTGTTCCTGCCCCGCGGCGACGTGAGGCAGGACTGGTCCCCCGCAGGGTAGCCTGGGGTGTGGGGGGAGGGAGAGGGGGTATCCCCCGCCGCTGTTGCCTTCTGAGCATGGCCCGAAGGTGCCCCTTGCTCCAGAGCCCACACTGGCACCCGCCGCCTCCCCTCTGCCTCCCTCCAGCGGGCAAATCCCGGCTGGATGGGGCGAAGCCTCCCCGCTCCGGAGCACCCGCCGGACGATGCTGCGAGCTCCGCCAGCGCCGGGGCCACCCCTGCTTCTAAATAATAAATATAATTAAAAAAACCCCAACAACAGCCGAACGAGGAGCGGGGAGTCTGGGAGGCTCCCACCGCGCCTTTTGCAGCAGTGGGGAGCGGAGGATTTGCAGGTAAGAGGAGAGGAAGGCGAGGGAGGAGGGCGGCGGGGAGGGAGGGAGGGGGTCCCGCGGTACTCACGGCGGGGCGCGGGGAGCGGGCGGGCGGCCGAGCCCCATGGCCGGGGAGGGGACGGGCGGGCGGGCGGTCGCTGCTATCGCTGCTGCTGCCGCCGCGCTGTCTTGTCTGTCTGCCGGCGCTGCTCGCCGAGCCGCTCCGGGAGCCCCGTCCCTCCCCTTCGCTTCCTGCCTGCTCATATAGCGCGCCCTCGGCCACGTGGACGGCGCGGGGCCCCGCCGGCTCCTCCTCGGGGCCGGGCGGAGAAGGGCGGACCCCCCGATCAACCTCTCCATCACCCCCCTCCATCACCTCCCTCCATCACCCCCCTCCATCACCCCCCTCCATCATCCACTTTCATCGTCTCCCCTCACCCCGTCTCACCCCACTCACCACCGCCCCCCATGTCATCCTCCCATTACCCTCTCCCCAATTACCTCCCCCCACCCCGTCATCACCCCCACCCCCCCCCTTCCCCCGCCTTCTCAGGCCTCCGAGCGGGGTTTCGCGGCGGAGAGGTTCAGTGGGAGCCCGGACTCACCTCTGCTAGGCGCGGGGATGAAATCTTGCTCCCGGCGGGTCCTCCCTAGAGGATCACCACCCAGGAATGTCTGTGTTCCCCCGCCCCCAGCCCTCCAAACTGCCATGTGTGAAATTGGGCTTCGTGGATCTCAAAGGTGATCGCAGCAGGGAAAGTGAAAAGAAATTCTGCACTTCTTGCAGGAGAAAATGTACGTTGGGTCATTAATAAATGTATAGCACATAGTCCAGAATCATAGAAAGGTCTGGGTTGGAAGGCCTCTTGAAGATCTTTAAGTTTCAAACCTGCTGCCATGGGCAGGGACATTTTCCATCAGATCAGTTTGCTCAGAGACCCATCCAGCCTGGACTTGAACACTTCCAGGAATGGGGCATCCACAACTTCTCTGGGCAACCTGTTCCATCATCACCCTCACAGGAAAGAAAGTCTTCTGAATATCTAATCTATACCTACCCTCTTTCAGTTTAAAGACATTCTGCCTTGTCCTATCACTACATTTCCTTGGAAAAAAATCCCTCTCCAGCTCTCTTGAAGTCCCTTTAGGTGCTGGAAGGTGATATAAGATCTTCCAGAGGCTTCTCTCCTCCAGGCTGAGCAACCCCAACTCTCTCCTTCTCTGTAGAGGTGCCTCAGACCTCTTCTTTCAGTCCAGCACCACACACTTTTTAAGGTGACTATAAAAAAACTGTAGAATTAAAAAGAATACAGCATCATTAAAGAATCTCCCAGACAGACACATTCAAATGATAAAGTATCTGCTAGAACTATTTAACAACATCATGCTGGCTTTTTTAGTGGCAATGTGTAAAGACTGGAGCCAAGACTAGAAGCAAATGATCTCTGATCTTCTCGGCCCTTCTGTATGCAGTGTTACATGCACTGTCACAGCGTTACAGTGAACATACAGAGCGCGCATACAGAGAGGAGAATGTATTCCTGAGCTCTTAAAAACATGCCCCTTAATGCTGGACAGCCAGTGCATAACTCCCTTTGTGAAGCAAATAAGTTTACAGGTTATTAATCTAGTTACCAAGACTGCCCACACTGTTGGTTTATTACATTCAGCACAACATACTTCCACTGGAAACTGTAACGTGCTATGTAGGAGCTGTAAGTCATCAATCATCACTGAGCTTGTTTCCATAGAGTTATATTAGTAAAAGCTAAAGTGTGAATTCAGACCGGTGTCACATCATGTACTGCGCTGCGCAGACATTTGCATTCGGGTGAGAGTACCTGTGACAGCCTGAGCTTTCTGCTTAGGGAGCATAAACCCATACAAACCCTTCAAGGGACACACCTCATTGTTAAATCTGGACTTTGGATACTGAAGAGTAGCATAATATTATATCCTTCATAAACAGGGCTTGGAACAGATTTAATATAAAGCAATCAACATTGAAAAAAAACCCCAAAACATTAGTCTTCTTTTACAAGGAATGAATCAACACAAGGAATTACTGTGTGATGGAAACAGTCTATTAAATAACTCTTCACTGCTTCTTACCAGGAGCTACTTGACACTTTGCTGGAGATGGGACAGGGCCCTCAAGGAGCTCCAATTTGATCATCTGTGAAAGTTTCTGTTACCTTCTTGGCTTGATACTCTTATACCTTCAGGCAAAGTAGTTGAATGTGGTCCTTTGTTTCCTTAACAATACAAGTGGGTGAGTGGGTCTATTTTATGAAAAAAAATCTCTGGGGAACAGCTCACCAGTAATAGGGTTGTGCATCAGGTTTGGAGATTTCTCCCAAGCATTTTTGAGGGGATGGAGAGAGTGAAAGGTTGATGAGAACTCCAAAGCATAGCCTATGAAAGTGACATTGCCTGGGGAAGGAAATGTCTAAGCACTCTGCATTTCACTGCCTGCTGTACCACGCCTGGTCCGTCCATGAGTTCAACAAAGAAAAAGAATGAATGGAGTAAACAGGTGATTTATCATCATACAGCAGACAAAGTTTTGCTAGGTTGTGGAAAGCTTAACCCTGCAGTCAAGAATGTCCTAATTAATGATAGTTAATCAAGATGACACTGGAATAGGTCACAGAGAAGATGTGGATGCCCCATCTCTATAAGTGTTCAAGCCCATGCTGAATGAGGCCCTGAGCAGCCTGGTGATCCTTATGGCCCTTTGCAGCCATTCTATGATTCCTTGACTGAAGAAAAGCAGCAAGAGATAATACTATTTTTTTTCCACCTGCATTTTCAGTCCTATCTCTGCACCGTTTCTCTGGAGCACACAAGGGATAGGATATGGCGTGTCCCTCCAGCAAGTTACAAGTGCAAGGAGGAGATACAGAAGCGAGCTCTGCGGTGGCTGAATTTGGTCAGAGAGGCTCCTTTCTGTAGTGCAAGGCAGAAGAGGAGTGTGCCAGAAATGCCTCAGGGAGGTATGCCACAGTGATATGGGTGTAGCATGGAGAAGTTCCTCAGGTCTCTGCTAGCACCTGGCTGAGCCAAGAGCAGAGAACAAGTCTGAATCTTCCTGAAACAGCAAGTGTGGAACCTATTTCTCTTTATTGTGTCGGTGTTACACTCAGTTAATTTCTTCAGATGCTCTCAGCTTCCCTGATGCACCCCAGTGAGAGTGCAGGTAACAAGTGTTCTCCGATAATGCCATCGTAATTACAGCAGGTCCAACCCAGTGTGTTGGATCCACTCCCCCTTATGCTGTAGCATTTCCCTAGCAAGTGTCATTTAGATGATTTTAGGAAAGAATCCAGGGTTTGTTTCACAGACAGTATTTCCTCAACAGCACAGTGAATATGGAATAGTTTGAACTAAGCATGCAAATCTCGCTCGTCTTCTTATGTAGAGAAACTTTATCTACTCTAAACTCTGGGCCAGGGCTTTCAACTGCTGATGAGGGACAGCTATGCAGACTTCAAAGGAACTATATCAGCTTTCACCAAGTGAGGATCCAACCCTTTATTCATATTTTAAAATTCAGAAACTGTGCCTAGGTAAAGCAATTTTCTCTATATTTTTAAGTAGCCAGCTTTTTATTTTATAGCTGTTCCCTCAGTGGCAGGATTGTTTCTCAGTAGTCAGTGTTTAAAGGCCCTTCAAGGCTGAAGGAATTAAAAATGAATAATTTAAAGCTGCTCTATGATGCATAATTTTTAACATATGTTTTACAGGCCATGTGGAACAATTTTTTCTGACTTGTCAGTAGATATTTTACAAACATGCTGTGCTGGAACCAAACCCTTTTTTATTTAAGACTCAGATTTGAGCCCTCCTATGCATCGACACAGCAGTGTACTGGAGCCTACAAGCCATAACAAAGAAATCATTATCACCAGCACTGATCAGAAAAGAGCAGAAATGTAGCAATTGCTTTCTACCTCTTACACACACTGTTAAACTCAATAGGGGCAGAACTGTGGCTCTCCCATCTCAAGAAGCCTCATCCCAAAGTAGAGAGAGAGTATATGTGATTTTTTTAACCTAAAGCTGAAAAAGGGATGGACCCAGGTGGTGCTGGAGAAGGAGGCATGAGACATGTTGGCTTTTGATTACTTTTTGAAGCTTGGTTGGAGTATCTTTATGCCAACCTCCAGTTAACTCCCTAAACCATGTGGTGCTTGGAATGTCATATTAGTAATTCCTGGCAGTTTTAATAGGCAAAGCTAATTGCTGGTGAATAACAATGATTCACCTTTTATAGATTTCATTTTTTGTCCCTTCCTAACTCCTTGCAACAAGAAAGGGAGGAGGCATCTACTCTGCAGATGCTCAAAATCAGCCTGAGTTTCAACCTTCTCGACTGGTTTCCACACTCTTCCTTGTTTTTGTGGGTTGTCCAGCTTTTTATTTCTGTTTTATAGGTTCTTCATATTTGCAGCTAAAAATAATTTGGTTTGGTTATTTCAAAAACTCTTTGAGTCCAAACTCAGTTTCACGTATTTCAGCAAGTTGTAAAGTTAGGCACAGCAGATTTAGGCTTATGTTTGCTCCTCCCTTCATTTGCTCTCCCTTCAGTTCAGAATCTGTCATCTTTCAAACAAGCCAATTGCCATTGTGTCTAGAAGAAGTCAAAATAGAAAATTAGCATTTGGTACATATGCTGTTGCCAAGAAGCTATTTCTTCTTGCCTGTGTAAATAAATAGTCGTTTAAAAATTATTGGCTTGCTCTGAAAGATGTGCTAAGTGCTACCACTGCACTGTGCTCCCACTGGGAGGAAAGAGGTGAGGATCCAGGAGTGTGGCCAATGAGTGTGCCATCTCCAGCTTCTCCCACTTGTTCTGTGGAATGGTACCGTTCTTCACACAGGCCAAATTGGTAATTGGATAGTTCCTGTCTCAATGGACATAGCAGAAGTGATTACTGACCTTGCCAGTCCCCAGGCCAGGCCCAAGCTCCACACAGGTAGATCCCTTTAAAAGGGATTTACTGGTAAGTCTCTATATTTTTATGTAGCTAATCATTCACATTTATTATGTATTACACAGATACACACCTATTGATTGGTAGGACTAGATGTGAAAGAGATTAAATACTTTCAAACTTTATAAATATGAAACCAAG